TATCGCAGGCAGGACACTCAGTTCCCCTCTCAAGCAATCACAAGTCCCAAGTGGGACACACATAAACAATTGTTTTTCCCTTGGTGTCCCAGCGCATCCTACCCATACCTCTCAATTCTCACTCGGGATGGTGTGTGTAACTCCCACTATCCTTCCATTTATAGTGGCTGGTTCTTTCTCCTGAGCATCTTTAGAGGTGAGCTAGTTTTCTTAGGAGTCTAGCAACTCCCTTCATTCCCTTTTTCTTCCTTCATTTGTCAATTCATAGGGCAGGATTGTTCATTTTAGATAACTGTTATGTTCATATGGGTTCCTCTAGTCAATTTTGAGGTGATAGTGCAGAGGCTCCCATTTGACTTGGGCTCTAAACAAACACACCAAAAGTACCCGTCCATTTTTATTGGCCCGACCGAAGCCGGAATGCCAACCGCCTGCCAGGTGACCGTTGCCCTTCTTTCAAACGAAAAGGGTAGACCCGCGACTTGCCACATGCCTTTCCAGACTGGTGGATACCAGCACCTATAGAAGGGGGGCTAGAGCCACTCCTTAACGAGGACCAAGCTGATCAATCAAACATTCGCGTACTCGCACATGTTATACCTCCAAGCCTGGCCACACCATGCACCCAGCCACCCTCAATTATGATTCTCTCAAGGGAAAGAGCAAGCATAATTCCATATTTCCTTCTCTTATGTTATCTACACGGTCGTGCCTTGGGCGCCCCCTTTGCCCTTACATTTGGGTAGGTAAGGGTTAATTTAACCCCTACCCGACACCTCCACCATTTTTGTAGGGTCCCACCCTGCTCGACTTTCGAGCCTGAGTTGACCCTTCAGCGGGTCCCAGTTAGCTCAGCTCCGCCCATGTGCATACCCAGGGCATGGAGCGTTCGTCACAGAGTCACCCTCGCCTAGTGCTATGAAATGGATGGGGGTGGGCCAACGAGTAAGAGAGTTTTGACATTGGGGATGAAGCTCAGTCCTCGTGCTAGGTGGGTAGTCTCGCTAATTCTCAGCAAGCATCCATTCTCAATACTTTATGGTGTTTTGCACAAATTTGCAGGCAATTGCTCCTCCCAAAAGGCCACGCATCCATTTCCTAGGTGTTGAGTTTTTTTTGCCGGGGGGGGGGGGGGTCTGGAGCCGGGGTCGTGGGTGCCCACCCCCGAACGCCCGCACCCCCGCCAGGGCCCCGGGCCTCGGGGCCGGGGCTCGACAACCCTGAATGGAACGCAATGTATGAAAGAGTGACGAGTGCAAAGTGTGTAGGATGTAAGCACTTAGATTGGCAAGAGGTTGGGAACAAAGGGGCGCCCTAATGATGCGATAAGGGCCACGTGACTTAGTTAGCAAGCCTAAGCTCAGGGGCGAGTCCTCTACGTCATCGATGTTGCTAGTGGGGGGTGTGCAGCAAGAGCGCGCATCCAATGGGCCAAACCCCAAAAATGGGGTTTTGTGCCCCACCCTGGACC